GAAACATTATTAAGGAGAGAGAACAATAGAAGAGTAATCAAAAAGATAATAGATAACAATTGACATTGAATTTAATTTTTTGATGATCAAAGTTGGCTAGAAATCATGAATCCTAAAGAGAGTTCCATAAGTGAGAAGTGCGAGAAAATAAACTGTTAGTATAGAACTTACGGTTACATCAATACAATTCAACTGTACCAGAGCGAAGAGTTCATTCGAATAATTACCATGAAAGTAAAGGCACACAGACTATCAGGTGCACATGCTTTGAGGGGATGCAGATTAAAGATGATAGCAGAAACTATGAAAGAAGTTATATGCCTATCACTCAATAGAGACTCAGTTCTAAGTAGAAAGTTAAGCAAGCATGACGTTGCCATTCAGTTATTTTGAAAATGCTTCCATTGATATTTTGAATCCATTACCACCAGTTCTCTCTAATAATAGTTGTTGTGTCTTCCCGAGCTGAAGATATTTTAAGGTATACCGACCACCACCAGATGAATTGAAGGAATATCTGTGCAAGACATACTTCAGTAACAATAATGGCTATGTCGTCAGTAAATGCCTGCATTTCGTTTTGGGAGTTCTTCTTCGAGTCGTTATCGATAGATGAACTCAGTTTGTAAGTGAGTATTTTAAAGAACAATTATTTTAAACAGGTTTTCAGAAACTTGGAACGATAAGCTTCCATTCACAAAATAATAAACAAAATTAGTGTCCTTTTTGCCAGCACATTGGACAACTGTTATGTATTATGTTACTGCTGTGTTATGCTGGACATTTGTGACTAACAGTAAATGACAAGATAGAATGCACTGTGTACTTATCTGTAGCAACCCATGGCAGAACTAACCCTGATTGCTAGTAGCTGCAGGCACTACGCTTTATTGAAATATGATTGGTCACTATAAATAGTTAAAAGAGAATTGACTGTGTATTTATTAATACATCACAACAACCTCCACAAGCCAACTAGCAAAACAGTCAACAACCCACGAAGCGTAAAGGTTTGTCGAAGTTAACTCCTCCTTAATTGTCCAAATTGTTCACTAGGGTACGCTCACCCTACACTATAAATACTGGGCGATTTATTGCCTCGTTCTCTTTTTACTTTGCATTTTCAGCGGACACATTTACAAAATATGATCTCTCGCAGAGATCTGCGTTTTGCCCACTTGTGGGAAAAGGCCATGAAACACATACACGTACGTACGAACATTCACCAAAATACAAACTCTTTACGTTCACACACAAACACAAATGTTAATGTTTATGTCCATTGTGAATTTTGTTGTTTAATACATATACATACATATATATATATATATATATATATATATATATATATATATATATATATATATATATATATATCGGACTTGTTGCTTTTCTTTACACTTTTATGGTGGATTCAATTTCTGAATCTGCCATGTTCTTGTGTTGGGCCTTCAAGCAGGAATAAACGTACATGTTCCTAATTTAACAACATGTAAACCCCACAGTCCGCTACATATTTAACAAAATATGAGTACGAGATTTTACTTAATTTTCAGACAAAAGTAAAACAACTCTATAAATACTAATTCTGTTTTTTGCCCATCATAATTATACCCCAGATACATTGTCTAAGAATGTGAAAAATATTATCACAATTCGAAACAAACTGTATTTTTTGTATGTGAGTGAGTGTGTGTGTGTGTGTGTGAGAGAGAGAGAGAAAGAATTTGTGTATGTGTGAGAGTCTCTCTCTCTCTCTCTCTCTCTCTCTCTCTTATGCCAGATTTGAAGAAGTTGCAAAGAGAGTGTTTTCCTAAGAAATATAATGCAGAGGCAAGGTGGCAAGTATAATGGCGATATCATTCAGCATGAGTTCGATTTTTATTGGGGGTTTTAAATATGTGTAAGATTAGATTAAGTCAGTCAAAAAAATATATATGATATACGCTGATGTCTATATTATCTCTTCTTAAAAGCAATTTTTGTGTTAAGAATTTTTTAAAATTTTAATTTCAATGAGAATAACTCACTTCCTTAAAAAGAAAATGACAGATGCGACAGATGTGTGTGTACGAGTGACATTTTTTACTGAAGATTATATTCATAGAACACACCAGAATGGATATTTATTTATTTATTTTTGAGGATATATACCTCAAAACTGCTTTACAGAAAGTGCTTTCTTTTTCAATCAAAATGTTTACACGATCCCACCAAGAATATATTCAGATTTATGCAAATTAAAACATAATCAAAATTTTACATAATGCCGTTGTGATATCTTTTAAATGAAATCATGTGACAACGACATTATGTTAAATTTTTATTAGTCTTAATCTATACGCTAATGGAACAATAGAAATTCATGAGCATCCTGCTAATATTTGTAAAGTTAACAACAATTTAGAGAGTAGTGCTACCAATGCTAGAGTTGGAAAGAAAGTTTGCTTTTTTTATCATATAGAACAATAAACGAGTTTGTTTTTTTTTAAATTTAACTTATTTTGAAAGAAATATTCTTTTCTTACTTCTTTCTCTTTCTAGACATTTTTCTTTGAAATTTTTTTAATGTATTTTGCATTATAGAAATAATAATTGCTTTATGTTTCGCTTGTATTAATAAAAAATTACATTTCTGAATAATAAAAAAAGCAATAATTTTTATACCAACAACTTTCTCTTTTTCTCTCAGTCTTTCGGTCTCTCTCTCTCTCTATGATGTGTGTGTGTGTGTGTGTGTGTGTGTGTGTGTGTGTGTGTGTGTGTGTGTGTGTGTGTGCAAAATTTCAGATACACGTAAAATATATCTGTAAAAAACAAAATGAATAAATAAAAAAAGAAAACTTATTTTAGCCGTCGCGTTTCGTCCTCTGGTGGACTTTATCAAGGCAAATGAAAAAATGTTATTTTGCTACAAGTATTTATAAACAAAAGCAAAAATGTTCTTAGATTTCAAAACTTTTAAAATTAAGAATTGCTCATAAATATCCATCAGGTTAACTGAAACGTCTCGATAAATTGTGGAGGACGCTAAGTGACGTAATTTAATGCGAAAGTGAGTAAATGGTGTTGTTGAATTTTGAAGCGGGGGGGGGACGACAATTAATATTAAATTATTTTAGTCTGGGATAAATGTATGTATTAAATATTTAAAATAACAGGAAGTAATGAATTCAATCGTTTTCTTTTAATTTTTTAACACTTTTATATTCATGTATAACACTTCATGCTTGGTAAGGGAATAATTCTTTCAGGAATAGAGAGATTCGAAAATATCCAAGGCGCAGATTTATATTTTGATAAGATTTGATAGCGGCGGCACTCTCAAGTTGTGATTGAATTTATTTCTATGTATAACTAATGCATTTGATAACTTGTTGTGTATAAGATCCTTTTTGCATTCATAGATACGTTTCTTTTTATTTCTGCAAGTTTCTCCTTGTTGCAATACAAAATAAAATCTTTACATTTGTCTATCAGAGGACGAAACAAGATAAGTTTTCCTGTTGTCTTTATATATATATATATATATATATATATATATATATATATATATATATATATATATATATATATTAAACTCAAGCAATGCGATAAAGCCACTAAGATGCAAGGGGTCACTGAGACTGAAAGAAACTGAAAAACCGTTTTTGAGAAGAGCGGACAATTAAGAACAAGTTTTAAGGAAACGGAAAATGAAAACTGACGTTGCATTTAAATTATTGGAATTCAATTTCCAGAAGCAAGAAGTGCAAGGGAAGAAACTATTAGCAGAGTACTTAAAGTTACATCTAGAAATTTCAACAGTACAATGATGAGTCTGAGTTGCCAATCTATATTATTATTATTATTATTATTATTAAGTAAGTAAGTAAGTAAGTTTAACCTTCAACAATAATTTCCTTTCTTTTAGGACTTCACCTACAACATCTTTATTCAGTTATTTCTTCGTTGGTTTATTTCCTGAACACTTTCTTGTTATCATTGTTATCAAGTGTTTAATGTATAAGCAAAAGAGAAATCGTTAAATTGCATTAGAGAATTAAAAATAATCTAATATCAGACAAGTTTCAACTATAATGGATAGAAATAACATGAAATGCTTTCATGTGTGAAGACGATCGTTAATTAACAAGCACAAAAGTGCAGGTCATTTTTTAATATTTAATATTTTATTTTCATTAACATTATTCTCAAAGCATTTGTTACCTACAATTATAATTAGTTTCGTTTACTATACTTATGTATATTATAAAGTGTTCACTGTCTCTTAATGCGAAATGGATAAACAAAAACACCTTAAATAAGTGAGGAAGATGATAAAACGAGATTTTATCAATGATTTTTTTTCTTTTTCTTTTTTAGGTGATCTGCTTCCGTGTGGTGGACCCCTTCGAGGCATGTGTCGAAAAATCAATGTAATAAATGAATTAGATTTAGTTCCAATAGAAAATAGGGTTGATGATCGTTTCAACTGGCCGTCACGTTTTTTCAAAATGGCATGCGCTTGTCGTGGAAATTTTGATGGTTATATGTGTCAACATTGTTCATTCGGTTTTACGGGTCAGGACTGTACGTTAAAATTAAGGCGGATACGAAAAGACTACCGAAAGCTTACGTCCACTGAAAAACAAGAACTCCTGCGCGGCATCCTTCTCCTCGATCAAACAGAGAGTGAATATGCTGTATTGGACACAACGGTTGATGCCGACCCAACTGTTACACCCAAGTTTGTTAATGTCACAGTTTACAACTATTTGGCCTACTATCATTATTATGTATCTCGACGTACTCTGGCAAAACCTTTAGAAAAATGCCACAATATCTCATACGTGCCAGATTTGGCTCATGCTGGTCCAGCATTCTGTGCGTGGCACAGAGCTTATTTGTTACTTTGGGAAATGGAGTTAGCCAATGTGCTCAAGAAACCAGAGTTCTCGTTTCCTTACTGGAACTGGACAGAATCTGGTAAAAACTGTGATATTTGCACGAACGATTTCATGGGAAAAACTATCAATTTCACAGAGGGAACACTTGATGACCTTTCTTTCTTTGCTAAATTCAAAGTACGTTGTGTCCCTTCCAACGGAGGCTGTACTGGTTGCAATCCTCTCGAAGATTCTGGCGATATTATTCGACGACCAGGAACCAACCCACAGTATCAATTTCTTCCTAATCATACAGATATAAATTACTTAATGACAGTTTCCAACTACGATCTGTTGCCTTACAACCGTTTTTCAGGAAATATGAGTTTCCGAAATCTCCTAGAAGGTTTTGGAGATATAAATGGTCCGACTGGGGACAGAATGGTGACTCACAATCAGGTAAGAGCTAAAATGTCAGAGTCATAAATATGTATTGATAATGAGTGATAGTTGTTATCCTGTACATATCTGCATGCACACACATACATACATAGAGACATATATATTTTTTAGGAAATGGATTAGGTTCGAATCCTGCCGGAGGACGCATATTTTAAAAAACAGAGCTTCTACTTGAATATGAGTATCCATTAAAAATAACGTTTAAACAAAACAAATATATATATATATATATATATATATATATATATATGTGTTTTGTGTGTGTGAATCAATTTACAAAATTACATTTATAACAAGAATATTTAGTTTTAATATTGCATACATCATTGAAATAAGCATTGCAGACTTATATTCGACATCAGCTTGTAAGATATTACTTTGATATTTGTTGATAGGGTTAATGAAATTACTCTTTATACACACGTGCGCGCGTACACACACACACAAACACACACACAGACACATATATATAGATATGTGTATATGTGCGTAAAACTTACAAGAAACTATCCACATATGGCATTACATAGCTGATACCAACCAATTAACGTAATTTTAACGTAGTTTTAAATAAAAAAAAAAATAATATATTTATGAAAATATAAGCCATTCGCTCTAAAACTAGATATCGGATATAATTTCAGAATAATATCCCTTTAACTAATGAAGCTACATTTTGTTTTCTCAAATCAAACTCGATAGAATGAAGTTCTGCTGCTGTCATACATTTTTCTTTGTTTGTGATATTTTAACTTACGTGCAAAATGTAATTGAATTTTGTTTCCAGGAAAATGAACAAAGGAATTGAAGATTTTTGATTCACTAATTTTCTTGTCTCAAGTTTTTTAAATGAATGTGTAAAAATTTAATTCCCTACAAATACCTAAATTTTTGTGCTATTATAAAGATTTAGTTAATAGGGATAGAATTGAAAAAGAAAACACGTGCCTTTCTTATCGCTAAAGTTGAATAAAGCGCAAAATAAACAAGATTCAACTACTACGCGAAATTTAAACGGAAAAACATTTATAAAACAAATACAAAATTTACATACAAGAGCTTACACAAAAATGTCCTTTTTTGCGTCTTAAACAAAAACTAATGCTGCATAACAATTCAAATATATATGAGAAAAGATTACACTTTTTGAAAATGGAAAAAAAAAATTTTGAAGAAGCAAAAAATTAGAAAAGGCGGGGAAAACAAGCGGATTCGCCTAATTTGTACGACGGAATGGGAATGTCTCAGCACAAAAGGATTTTGTGTTTTGAACTGGTTGGTGTCACGGGGACGTTTTATGTTTTTCCTTTACAGAAAAACTGAATCTGATTTTTTAGTTTCTTTGAAATTTTGGAAGCAACCCAAATCTCTCCTGGAACTTGAATCTGCCTTCCGATTGAGATTTAACTGTTGACTCGTTTTTCTTTCTCCGCAGTGATTTATGACTCCCTTCTGCTTTGACACTTCCCTTGAAGTGTGGGTGCTTTCTGCCTTGACGTCTGAATGCTTTCTGATATAATTTATTACCCCCATCTTAACCTATTCCAAAATTTACAAAGGGATGAGATCATGTCCCTGATAGATTAGTAAATAGAATCAAATATATATTTTCCAGAAATTCAAAAAATGAATCCGCATCGAATTTTTTAAAGTTTTAAACCGTTAATTCTAAAAGTAGATTTTCACACAACAATTTTTTCTTCTAAAAAAAGGGTAAAAAAACAACTTAGACGATTAAATAAAACATTTATTTATTCCACCTTTAACTAAAGACTAACTTTATTTTACTGTACTAAAATATTTTACTGTACTAAAATATATTTTTTTATAAATGTGCTACTAAGCGTTATCAAGTTTACAGTTTGAGTCGAATTTCATCTTCTTACAACCAACTGTCGGTGCACAATTTTCCGAGTTTTTTAGACAATCGGGTACCTCGGCATAGAAAACTTGTCTGGTTCATCATACTCAGTAATGAATTCGATCCTCACTGGGTGACACATACTTGTAAGTCTTGTGTCAAATTAAGCTTAACAACCTCATTAAGACGATTGTAGGCATTTTTGTGCTTGAATAATTTAAATATTTTTTATAAACTAAACATTAGCTTTTCAAAATGGTTTCAGTGACACAAATGATATTCCTGAGTGGTCGTATGATTGAAGCCAATCATCTGATTGGAGATAAAACCTATATACTTTAGCGATACGAGGAAGACAAGCAAATGACGACGTAGTGCATTATTGTTAAAAAATAGCAAAATAATTTTCTTGGATATTCTGGTCTCTTGTGGCGATTATGAATTGAAAACATCCCAAAATTGAAAACTGCCATTTACCAAAATTCATTTGTCATTCATTTGTAAATAAAGCAATTTTGTCGGCTATATATGGGCATTCAAATTACAATATCGGTTAACTGAAACTTACGGAAAAAAAATTCTATTGAACTATTATAGAAATTAAATCACAATCAAATTTGATTTTACTCCGAAGAGAAAAATTCTTGCGATTCAACCACTTGCAATCACATTTCTTTCAATACACACCGTTTTCAAAATAACACATTTTTAGAATCTCCTAAAATAACAAAAATGTAGAAACTTAATATAAATTGTCAAAAAAAAAAAAAAAAAAACTGACTGCAATTTTTAAAATAATATAAAAATAATAGGCGTAGATAGGTTCGCCTATCGTCCGGTTCACGCACCTCCTCGGTTTTTTGAACAGGAGTAGGTGTTTATTCCTTCTTTCTTGTTTAGTATTGGGTTTCCGGTTCTTTCTAAATTCTTCTCATTCACTTTCACTCCCAGAAACCCTTTGAACCTTAGTAGTATTATCACATTGTTTGGGGTGAATTGATTAAAATAAATGTTTATTATTGATTCATATAAGATTAAATTTATGGATAAACAATAAAAAGAAGATGAAGTAGTGAATGTGCTCCGAAAATAATTACCATGATTTGCCAAATGTTGATTTAATGGTAATCCTATTGTAATGAACTTTACAAATCAACTTTGTAACATTGACAATATGAAGCTTTTGATTTACGCTTGTCAGTAACGGATTTTGCTTCTTATTCATCTTTGGTAAATAGAAAATCTTGAAACTTCTGCTTAATAAAATCTATTTTCTCATAACCTAAGAGAAAAATAATTTTGCATATTCCTTGGAAATTATGAATTTATTAAAGTCAATTTGTTCATCAAGCAATATGTTAAAATTGTTTTATTTAACAAAATTTCAAATTTGACTGAAGTGTCTACTACGTTTTACCATTCAGAAAGATTCTATCAGTAATGCGGAATTGCAAAAATAATCTTAAAATTGTATTCCAATGAACGTTACTTTATATTTATTTACTTGACATAGATGCTCACACAGAAAAATATACACTTTATTAGTACAGTCTTATTTGATATTTTCCTCCTTCAGGTACATGCCTATATGAACGGAACCTTTTCAGAGCTAGCCACAGCTGCTTATGACCCAGTATTCCAGCTCCACCACGCTTTCATTGATAAACTGCTGGAAATCTGGCTTCGAGATAACACACCGGCTTTATCGGAGGTAAATTATTATTATTATTATTATTATTATTATTATTATTATTATTATTATTATTATTATCTTCTTTTGTACGGTTTTCGTTTACAATCGGAGATTTTGCATTATGTATTTTCTGTCAGGTTCATATATTTTGAAATGCTCATTTTCTATTTGAGCTGTTTAAGAGAATAAGTTATCGCAAAGCTTTATATTAAAAACTTTCGCATTTCCCCCAGTTACTATGATAACAGGATAGTATGTCTATTTCCACCTTCATCACTATCAACATCACGAGTGACATCTATTTTTATCATCATCGCCTTCCATATCATAAGTGAAATCTATTTTCATCATCACGCCATTAATATCACTTGATGTTTGTTGAAAACGAAAGAAATTATTTTATTTATTAATTTTAAGTATATTTTTGTGTCCAGATGTACTAGACATAAAACAACTTTTTTTACTTCATTGCTTTTTATCACCTGTTTGAAATTTCTATTGATTAAATATGTTATTTTTTTCTCCAGTTACCAGAATTCGAAGCCGAAGCTGGACACAACCGGATGACAAACATGGTCCCATTCTTTCCAGTTAAAAAGAATTATCTTTATTTTGCACATTCACATTCTCTCGGCTATGATTATGACAGCTTAGTGCAAACTTCTGTCATACCACGTAAGTTTTAAATTGAAATTTTTAAAATAGATTCTAAAATATTTACTATGTTTTATATTTATACTTTCTTACATCAATCTTTTTTGTTAGAACAGCAGCAAAAACGCAAAATGCATTTGGAAATTTCTAATATTGTGAATCAAACATGTAAGAATGCTTTGTATTTCAAACTAAGCAAAAGAACTCTTCCTAGTTATGTAATCAGTTTAATCAAATGCCATAAAATTCAGGTTTTACACATAAATATGAGGGATTCTGTAAAAATAGCCCAGTTTTCATGTTTAACGGATGGTATGAACCGTGGACACACGAATACATACACTTTCATTCACACGCACGCACACATATACACACTCTATATCTTTCCCTCTCTTTCCCTCTCACACACACGCTCTCTTTCTCTAATTCTCTCTCCTTCTCTCTCTCTCTCTCTCTCATTCTATGTCTCTATATCTATCTCTGGAACTAACAGAAACTTCGGCAGTATGAAACTTAAAAGTAGATTGTAACTACCTAACAGAAAATCTAGTATTTATTGATTCCAAGGTGAATTCCGAAAATGAATGTGAAATATACGAGGATATCTCCGAAAGTAATGCCTCCTATTTTAATATTGGCCTACAACGTCAGAGGTGGATGCTGACGGTATAGCAGTAGAGTTTCAGCCTTCCAGCCACTAATCGAAACTTATTATAGATGGCAGCTGAGTAACTGCCTGGTAATATATCGTCTGACGTGTTAATAAAATTCCACTAAACGACAACAAAACACACCTATTAATTTTCATCGATTTTTGCTACACGTTTACAGAGACTAAACAGTGGATATAAGCATAGTTAGACGATGGGTAATGTGTTTCAAATAAAGAGTGTGACAAGTCACCTTTACGAACGTAGTATACTGACACTTGGCAAAACTGTATAACCTATTGTGACGACTATGTGAGAATATACTTGCTCTATCCAACGGTGTTATTGTACTCGCTGTATCTGTTTCGTTGAAATAAATAGGAAACATTACTTTCAGAGCGTCCCCTCTTGTATTATTCATCAGTTTTAATACAAAAATAAGCCAACTGACATTAATTACGTAACGCGACTCTTTTTGAGATTCGCGCCTTGTATTCATTTTGTTATCCGCACACTATTGTGGTTAACGATTGTACTCCACTCTGCGTTTATTAATTTAAAAATTACCCACCATCACTTTTATTAAAACTTCCCCTCGCTTATTCATTTTGGTGTAAATTTCTTAGATAAAAAATTTAACTTCTAAGAAAATGATCGTTTAGAAATGCGAAACTGATTTAAAACAGATTCTAAAACTTCATTCCAGTTATAATTCATTTAATTCTAACACTTTATTTGAATCATAACAAATCAAAATATTTTTGTCGTATAACGTGCCATATTTAATCGTGATTTTAAAAATAATTTAAAATATATGACTATGAAAAGAACATTTGGAAGTAGTTTTATTAAAGAAAAGAAAGCCTTGCATAAATTTAAAGTTAAATATGAACAGGAATCAGAATGATTAAAAAGTAAAACACTTTTAGATGCTAAACGAAAAAGACGTGTTCCTGACACACTAAAACGGATATCTTGTCAAAGCAGTTTGCTGTTTTTATTCCAAATCAAGTACAGCTAAAACAATGAGAAACTCTTTTTCCGCTAAGAAGATGGCTAAACGTGGCTATGACAAACTTGAAGAACGTGAATTAGATAACTCTGATAAAACAAAAGATTCTGTGCTGCTGGAGTTCGCCATTATTCATGCCTTTTCGCAATCAGTTCAGTGATATATACAACGCACGACGATCTGGAAAGAAAAGAATAAAAGATGAAGGACATTAAAAATTTATGCTTATCTGCAGTAAAAACTTTGATATTGAAAAAATTGTTCTCTCATTAAATAATTTCCTATATATTTTTAGTGTGTTTATATACGCGATTCCTTCATGAAAATAAATTAAATTTAAGACTAAATCCTATCCGCTCCGCAGATTTTTCCAACGTCTACCTATTTAGATTTTGAAAATTATTCAAGACGCCGCTTTTATTGAAGATCTGAGAGTAACTGAAAAATCGTTATTGTTTTAGTCTTGGAATAAATACGTAATGCGTAATTACGATGGCGCTGAAGGTGTTAATAAAAATAATAATAATAAATAATAAGTATAAGAAAAGAATGCAATTAAGAGAACAAGCATGGATACTGATGTTAAAATTTCACGTCTCATGAACATCACAGTCAGTTTTTGTATGTCTTTGTCATAAACATGTTTGATATTTTTTCTTTTTGGCTTGCAGAACATTAAATTATGTCAGATGCGGTCCAATGGTATTGCACTGAAATGTTCCAGTAGATAAAATAATTTCCCTTAATGAAAAATAAAATAATTTCCATTAATGAAAAGAGAATTATGGTTTAATGAAAGAAAGTAATTGGCATTTTGCATAAATTATCTTCTCACAAGGAATTCTACTTATCATATTTTCGCAACTCATCAAGACCGTTAGAAATATGCCCGCAGTAAAAATTCATCAGCTGACAGATGGGATACTAGGAATATAATAAAATGACAATACATTATGTCCATTAGTCTAAAGGTAATTATTAGTTACAATATGAAAAGGAAGAAGAAAAAAGACCCCCAATCTGTAATCGTCATCTCTCATTCCTTTCGTTTTTCTCTGTTCACTATTTCTGTCGCTTTCTACTTAATGGATTTGACATTCCTTTCTGTTCCTTCATTTTCCCTCTTTCTCTCATTTTTCTCCTACTGATAGTTTCTTTCTTCTGATTAACTTTACACATTTCTTTCTTTCTTTTTTTCTTTTTCAGTATAGTTTTCTCTTTTTTGCTTTAACAATTTCTTTTGCTTTTTTTTTCAACCACTTTACCTTGATTTCTTTCATTCCATTTTTTATTCGTTCTCTTCTCCCCTTTTTACTATCTTTTTCTAACACACGATTTCTCAACCTTCACCACTTTCTACTCTAGTCTTACCTAACCTCTTCTGATCACTTTTATTCCTTCGTATTTTTTTGTTTTTTCACGAAAAATATTGAAACATGCAAACGTACACAGATAAATACACGAATAAAGAAAATATATTTTTTCTCCCTGAACCTCACCTTTTCTATATTCAAAATCCTTAATGGCAATTAGGATTTAACAACACCCGAGGCGACTCAGCCGGCTAGGACGTGACACGTCATCACACAAGAGAAAAAAAGGCGTATTTTGTAATTTGAGCTTGTTTGCCACTGTTCCTTGCAGCAATTAGACAGTTAATGTACCCTACAATAGAAAAACTGACAAAAGATGAAAATAAGATAAGAAGAAAGAAAAACATTGCGAACAAGTAAAACGAAAGGTAAATTCTGTTTATTAAATAGAGTAAGTTATTAATTAAAACAAGGAACAAATGCACTTAAGAACTAGAAATATTGGTGCCTTGCACGATTAAAAGTGGCGCATTACATCCCAGTAATCTTTGCCAATCAATTTACAACGGATACGCCTACGTTACTGAATTTGTACTTTATTTATTCGTTATGAATATATGTAGTTTTTTACATTTTCAAAAATGTTGCATTTTTTTGGTTCTCCATCATAACAGCAGAAAGGAAAAACAGAAAATTGTACTAAACGGTAATTTAATAAACACTGTCAAAATAAGATTGTATTTGTAGCGAATCTTTTCAAAATCGTTCCAAATGTATTATTATTATTATTATTATTATTATTATTATTATTATTATCATCATCATCATCATCATCATCATCATCATCATCATCTCTGCAGTTCGCACCAGTAGTTATCGTTGGAAATTGATTGAGTGACAGCAAATGTCCAGCATTTTCCTTGGTATTATCGAATATATCCCAGCAACGTCGTGTTCTGGGCAGTTTTTACTCGAATTCGTAATTAATCTAATTTCACCTGGAGTTTTCTTTTTTATTTCAATGTTTCAAATGTGCCAATTATTTTGGGGTAAGAGTCTTAACTTCATGTCCTCTATTTTTTCGCAGCTGCTTCGTATTGTCCTATTATTTTTCAAACTCTAATATTCTTTATTTGCTGACACAACCGCATCTAAGTTTCTAGTCGATCCTCTTTATCTTTATTATTAGACCCAGTTCTCTCGTCTGGATGATATGATTGAACTAAATCTGAAAGTTTCCACGCGTTTTATTCTTTTTTCTACAACAGCCTCTGCTTTGTGCCAATGGGATTTGTTTTACAGGTCGAACCCATGTTTATTTTTCACTTCTCAGTTTATGACTCCTTTCGTGTTATGTTTATGTTTGTATTCCATTTGTGTTACTCTGCTGCTTTCACTGATATGGTTTACTGTCACTTCATTTTCTCTAAAGAAACGTATTTGCAATCCTCTGCTTATACAATTTTAGTCTTACTTCTTTGGACAGTTTTCATTTTTATTTACTTATTTTGCTTATTTTCTCCACTTCGCCGGCTATTTCCTTTTGTTTTTCTGCATGTCCATTTTAAGCTGGCGTATGGTTTGTTTTTGTTGGTTGTGTCATTTAATAATTTTTGCGTTTCTTTGTAATTTAGACATCTGTCTTTATAAAATGATTTCCCGTGTTAGTTTATTATCCTTGTTGTTATTGGTTTGAATATACTGTTTGGTCTTTTCTTGCTCTTTTATTTTCCTTTTTAATGACGAAAAAAAAACTTTTGGAAAGCAGTTCATTTTTGTTTCGTTTTGAAGTTATAGAATTCACTTTTTAAACTCTATACGGTGTACGTGGTTCTGTATATAAACGCGTCGGATAAGTTTTCCTTTACTCTTTATTCATATATATGAATGTATATGGAAAGAGTACAAGTGTTTGTAACTTTTATATACGTCTAAAATTTATGCGACATATTAAATCTGAAAACCTCAAAAATCTAAACGAAAACTAATTTCGATTGTGACAATTGTTTCGTTACACCAGATTCAATTCATGGAACAGCATCAGTGAGGACCTTTATTATATTTTAGTGTTCTTAGAAGAAGGGTTTAAAAGTTTATAATGTTTCAAAAACCGTCAACAAATCAATTAAGAAGAGGGTAAATGAATTGTGAGAAAGAAGCTATATATAATAAAAAATATACTGGAAAAAGAAATAGAAGGCCAGAGTGAAATCACAAATGTCATAAAAAAGGAAACGTTTACAACAGTCTGTATATTATTTTTATATTCACTTATGCACTTAAAATACTTACGTAAATACTGATATTTTTAAATCCCATGCATCTATTTTTCTGTTTCTTTCAGGTGCTCCAATAAATCCTGTGTGGATTATAGTCATTGTAGAAGCGGGTTTGGTTTTATTGTTAGTTGTCGTAATCATAGAACTGGCTCGGAAGAAATCCCGTTCATCTTCCTCTCTGCGTTCCACATCAGTCCACAGCAATGCAACCGCCAGTATCCCTGACGAAGAACAACCTATTTTCAAACCTGGTGACCCTTCATACAAGACTTATAATGCAGCCGAAACTTCGTAGGATCTGGTGTTCTCGTCAAGAAATTGTTCGCTTATTCATCTTTTATGCTTCATGTTAGGAAATGAGTGTAGTTCACTCTAACTGGAAAAAGTTAATAAATAAATAGAATTAATGGATAAAAACAAAAACAGACGAACAAAAAAATAAATAAATCTAAAATCATATACTTATGCGCACGCATATGCGTATTTGCACAAATCTCTAACTCAAGAAGCAAAAAAGATGGATTGTATTTTTCAGTGCGAAAAACTTGAAAACTGCTTAAAATCCATTTGACAAGTGAAATAAGTTTTAGAACTTTGAGTGTTCTATTATTTTAGTAATGAATAAATAAATACAGACGAAATAACAACAGCTATTATTTCTCCAGGCTCCAGGGTGAATTCTGATAAGAAAATTGAGACATCAACGAATCAACATATCCCCAGGTATGCCATGGTGTATTCATACGTCAGCGAAATATCAACGACTAGAGATAAGCATAAAGTTGACTAATCGAAACGTTAGGACACTGATCAAGCATATTCTTTAACGAGAACGTACAACATTAACGAAGCGAAGTCTCAAGTTTTCAGTTTGTGCGTGCGTGTGTATGTGTGTGTGTGTGTTCATATATGTATACGTTTTCTGTTAATTTTAGCCTTTGTTTTTTCATTACTGCCTTATGTGCTGATGTATTCAGGCAGTTAATAAAAATTAAATGTACAATTCGCCGAACGAGGTTGTTAACCTCTGCTCGATCCGTGAATAATCTCGGAATATTTTTTCGATGTTATTTTATTTCTATTTCTGACAAAATAATTCCTGTCTCGTTTATATCTACAACTAAGTGGATTTTTCTCAATAATATATAACCGGGGTTATCTTGAAATATTTTTACGCTTGATTTCTGTATTTTGACCACAAATGTTATCCACATTCGAGGAAAGAGAACAAGCCACCAAAATAGTCAATTCACTTACTGTTTTATCCCATGGCACCACTAACAGAGCCATTACCGAATGTTAAGGTATACATTACAATTCTACAAAAAATTATGATGGTCTAGACAGAAAAAAAATCGGATTTAGACGTCATTTTACTTTGTATATTTAAGATTGTTCAAAGAAAATGCCACCATATAAAAAAACTACTGAACTGACAGAGTTGGTTGAGTCAAAATGCAAAGTGATCGATAATAAAATATTGAAAACTTGTATTTTTTGTATGAAACGTTCACAAGAAATGATGTTCGGATCTAAAAATTTAAATGAAAAGAACATGCAACTATAATTAATTTAGATGATATGCTTAAAAATATGGGATGACAATATGGCTCATTAGTATTGATGTAGTTCCGTGAGAAAACAATCGAAAGTACTTTATGTAAAAAAAACAAATTGTTTTTGTAGGTACAGTGTCGATGAGGCATTTTTAATATCGTGATCTCCTTCTGGTCGAAATGTTTCTTCGGTCGGAAGCAAAGATACAAGTTAAAAAAAATCATTAATATGTCCCGCAGTTAGTACATAAATGAATCTTGTTTGTTTTCACATTTGTTCATTAACATTTCAATCAAAATCTGTGTCGACAAAAACTTAAATATTTCTGAGCCATAAAACCCTTACAGTATCACTATATAACAAATAAAAAATTCAATCATTTTTGGCATTCAAATGTTAATATCTGTTTCACATTAAGAATATCCTGCTATACAAATAGCTGCTGATTGAATATTTATTTCACGTCATAGTTAAATTGAGCTTACTTTATGATGTAATGGAATAACCTGTCACCCTCATGAGTGACTACGCTATAGGTAGTAACTACCTATAAGTATCTCTAAGTCAACAGACTACAGAGACCAGCTGCGACCTGTTCCAGCTGAACAGTCGAACTCTCTGCCTCTGAGCAGAGAGGAACCCGTCGAGGCTCCGCCGAAGGGCAGAGTCTCATTCTGGGAGGTAGACTGCCCCTGAACCTGTTTATAGGGGCTCAAAAGGGAATATTTTTGTCCGAGCCTACGGTCTCGGAGAACCCACGTTAAACCGGCTTTGTGCCACATGCAACCCTCGTGGTGGGGTAGCTAAATATACTAACTGGGATCTGTTATTCAGCTCTTAGCTGTTGTCGAACTCTCTGCCTTCGGTCAGAGAGGAACCCGGACGAGGCTATGCCGAAGGGTAGGATGTGGGGAGGTTGGTAAATATTACTAGCTGGGATCTGTTAAGTACGACTCAGACTTACGCGCGAACTACCGACCTACCAATAGTAGTACTCACTACTGGATTGACTTGCGACGACCTTGTGCATAACTGTTACCTTTATTCTTATTGTATTGATTTTTACAATAAACCTTTACTTATTTTATCCACCTTGTTTTTCAAATATATATTCCTATTAGCACGGAATATAACACTTTAGTTGCAATAGAGAGTTTTGCATCTTATATACAACACTAAATGTTGGTAAAGTACTTTTTTTTTTTCATTTTCAATCCTTCGAGATTAGCGTTAGATGTCCAGTATCTAATCCTAACGAAAGGTAAATAATAGGCATTTATTCTTGATTCAAAATCTCAATATGTTTAATCCGGCTACTTTGAAGTGAAGTCAATTATCATTTTGCAGACCCCATGTGCATTGATTGGGCCTAAAATTAATATAAACGTGTGATTAGAACATTAGTTCAGAAAATCATTAGGAGTTGGTGCTATGACTGATGATCATTTTTAAAATTTAACATCTTATATTATATTAATGAGCTGTCATTAAATACATAACTCATATTTTTGCCAATTGGGAATCTGAACTTTTGTTCAAAAGCCTCTAAGACAGTGTAATCCAAAACTCGAATTCTATATGCTATATTTTACTTTGAAGAAAAAACACTGCCAGATATTAATTGTAAAATTCTCTATATGAAAAATGCATAAATCATGTTTGATAAAAAAAGAAAGGTTTTAATATAGTGGTCTAAATTTCTAACGCATGTAGCATATTATTCGATGAATATCCGTGAAAGTGATGGAATTTGGAATCACGAATGAATCTGCACTACATTATAATAATGAAAAGTGAAAGGAATTAAAGAGAAACATAATATTTCCTCTTAAAAATTATTGATGCACCAATAAATTCCGCTGTAATTTTAGCATACAAAACTATAAATGAACAGTTTCTCCAATATTAATTCATTGGCATATCGCTGAAACAGATTAATCAAAGTTTTGTAGGAAATCTTTCATTAAGGATGTAACACTTCTCAGTAGTTGATCCCTGGTCACTGCTGCCGCTGGTCGTTGGAGTTGGTCGTTCTGATCTGCGCCCTGTTCCACCTCACGTTGTGTTGATTGATCATGGAGGTGGCAAAGATCGAGTTGTCGTCAACAATTGTAGGCGCTGGTTCAATCCTACCAAAGCTATCTCACATAGGAAATAAAAACGTTCTTGCAGACGAAATAAAGAAAAGACAGGAATTTCTTCAGGGTCCATTTCTATGCGGGTTTATATTGTTCTTTGTACAGAAATATTAGTTATTTGTACAGAAATATTACCCTAACACTGCTCAATTTAGCTATGTCCGGAACAAGGCAGCAAGTCACGTGGGATTCGGTAGAGTAGTCGTCTCTCTTCGTCTGCACTTTGGAACTATCGTCTCTTGAACTGTCGTCTCTGGAACCGTCTTCTCTGGAACTCTCCTGGTCGCTTCAGTGCTCTGCTTATATTAACTTTCACCCAAAACTGGCATGAGTGTCGACGTGCTTAGGGGACCCGACGTTTCCCATATCTTCCACAAAAACCCCTTTGTTGTCTGGCTTTGGAAAATCAATTACATCTCAAAATCTGGGGCGACCACTTTTCCTATGGGCAGCGGTCACAGGTATCGATCCGCCCCGATAACTCCTTCCTTCTTTTATTTGTATCTCGTACCAGCACCTCCCAATAGGCGTAGACAATTCCTCCGTCCTTCTTGACAAAACTGGTTCTCAAACCGCGTGGCGTGGCTTAGTTTCTGGTCATCAATTAGAATTATTTTAATTTCTAATCAGCAAACTTTTTTCCCAGTTTGGTCTTATTTATATAATCAGAGATTTATCAGCTGTTTCTTCCAGTCAGCTTATCCCCACCTCACACTTTAAGAACTCAGGGTTGAGTCCTTACATAAAGCAATTTTATTTTCCCGACTTGTTTACAGTTTCCACTTTTTGATAGGCAAAAAAATGAATCAGTTTTTTTTTTAATTCTGCCTTGTCTTTAAAAATTACCAAATACTATCTCTTCAATTGGCTTCCTTTCTCCCGGCTGATTCCTAGGAGCTGTTTTCTTAACTTCTACTTTAAGGTAGTGCCATCAATCAATTGTCAGCCCAGCTTCACCAGATGGCCTCTGTGGTAATATATTTCCAACAAATCTACCTTCTTCAAGTTGTCTCTTGTTAAGGAGACAGAAATGGGTAACCTTGTTGTTGTTGTTGTTACTGTTGTGGAGGTTAATTCCTTCTTCGCCTCGGCAAACGTAAATTCAAGTAAAAAGAATGCACTGAGAATGAGTAAATAAATGTATAATTTATTTATATATATACAAAACTAGTCTGTTGCTCTTTCTAAAGCAAAAGAGAGAGAATGATGAAATTAGAAGTCAAATTGACATTTGCTGATGGCTGTCGTTGTTGGTTCTCTCTCAGCGCGTCGGTGTTGACATGAATGCTGGTTTGTGTCGGTGTTGACGTCGAAAGTGATCTCCCTCAGGTTTGTTTGAATTAGAGAATATATAGCTGTCGTTCGGCTCCAAATTAAGAATTTGTTTTTTTGAGAAGAATTGGCTGTGACTGGTCAATAAATTGTTCGTTTTATTTGGTTTAAAGCGGATGTATGCGTGGAGCCTATGCGCAGAAAACGTATTTACGCAGCCTACTTTGGGTCGCCGAACGGTCAACATCCGGTTTGTGTAGAAGAATATAAATGGCACGACGTGGAAAACATTAGGGAACACAAAATTTAAACGATCAGGACACGAAGA